GTGCCATGCTTCATTTTCAGGGCAGTGTAAAAAAGCAGAAATCAGAGTGGTTGACCAGACCAGATGGGTGGGATATAAATCAAATAAATAATAATAATAAGAAGAATTATCCAAGAGAATTCCGGATCACACCAAAAAATAATGGCAGCTGGTAAAGCTGTTAAGATAGGCTAATTGCAGGCACTAATATCAGGGCAAACTCATTAGATACAAACATTTGTATGTGTTTCAGTGAATTTGAAACGTTTTTTGCCTATTACCTAACACGCCAACATACGTCTTACACTGAGCTCCGAGGGGAAACAAACTGTATACAAGGATGCATAGCTGAAAAAGTTTTTTTTTTTTTTAATTTCAATGGCACTTGTTCCATCTTGGGTAGTGAGTAAAGCCCTAGGAGAATCCTAAGCTGTCTTCCAGGAGAATCTGATCTGCAAATAGGTGTTTCTTGAGATACTAAGATCCAAAAGCATCAAAGACTTGCAGTACACAGTCCAGAAGTTCTGAGGAGGCCAGCCTTTTTCAGCCTGGCTGAAAACCTCTACCCTGTATGGCTTCAGATCCATTTTCCTTATCCCACAATTTATGTCCTCAGATGGGTTTCTTCCCCCACAAAAAATGTGATTCATAATGGCCAGGATGAGAACCATTAATAGAAAACATCGGCTAATAGAGGCAATGATGTCATGGAACATATTGAAGCTCTAGTGATCTCACCAGCTGTATTCCAAGGACAGATCATACACTCAGATGAGCTATGTCAATCTCTCTTTCTGGCCCCGTATCCTGTTGCTTTGCAGGATCCCAGATGAGGGATGGCTTAAGGATGCCTCCCACTCTGGCAGGCTCCACTTATGCCCTGCCTGTTTTGCACTGCTTTCAAGACTGGTTGTGCAACCAGTCAACCAGTTGTATGATTAGTCACACAGCGGAGGACCAGATGGAACAAAGAAATTCTTAACACAATCGAACTAGGATACTGGTTTCTGTATCTCTCCGTACACAGATACCCACACACACACACATCAATATATTTCCTGTACTTTAAACCACCATGATGATTGTAACTATGTTCAAGAAGGCCAAAGAAGACTGAGGAGTATGGTACAGAGGACCCCAATCAGAGGGGTGCCCCTACCAATCAGAAAGTCCTGACACTTTGACCCTACAAGCCTTGACCTCTTTACCAAACTGGGCAGGACCACGCCACCTTTGTAATCATCAGCTCGGTTCTGAGCAGCTTTGCAACCACAGCATGGACATCTGTAAAGTGTAGATGATTGGGTTGAGGAGAGGGGTGATCACAATAATAAAAAAAGATGGACACATATTTGTCATGGCTGGGGTCTGTGTCTCGTGTATAGCGAAATGAGGCAACCATAAAACATGGCGGCCACCAGGAGATGGGAAGCCGACGTGGAGAAGGCCTTGTTCTGACCTGCACCTGAGATCATGTGCACTACAGTCATCATGATGAGTCTATATGAGATCAAGATGGCGGCCAATGGGGCTAGCAAGACAATGACTCCTACCACCATGACGATGGCTTTTGACTAAGCTAGTGTCAGTGCACCCTAGCTTAATCACCATCAGAAGCTCACAGCTGACGTGGTTGATGTAGTTGGGGCCACAGAAAGGGAGGCGTACAATCAAGGCTGTGATCAAGCCAGAGGGAAAGAAGGCTCCGACCCATGAGATGGCAGTCAGAAGCAGGCAGCATCCCCTACTCATGGCTACCCTATAGACCAGAGGACAACAGATGGCAAGTTACCAGTCATAGGCCATGGCCCCCAGCAACAATCCCTCAGCATGCTATGTACATCTGAAAGACACAACACATGAAACCCATTTCCAATGTATTAAGATCTCTGTATCCCACCTTAAGAAAAATAATCTTCTGTCAGAAGATGTCTTCTGCTATGGCGATCTGGCAAGATCAATTTTAAACAGATGGAGTCCTTGAAATTGCCCACCTATAGTAAGCATCTTGACTACAAGCCAAACATTTAGCCCTCTCACCTGCTCATGGTCTTAGCATTGACTTCCCCAACTCTGCTTGGGGATATGACACTCAGAAACAAGGCTAAGATATAACACAGGTAAAATGTCTCCCAATTGAACCAATGACCTCGGGAGATGGTGAGCGCTCCAGTGCTGGAGGATTCAAGAGGAAATTGGACAACCGCCACATCAGCTTTGATTCGTATTCCTGCACTGAGCAGTGGGTCGGACTTGATAGCCTTAAAGACCCCTTCCAACTCTAGAAAAAAACTTTTAAAAAATAATTTAAATTTTTTTTTTAATTTTCCAATATGTGGTAAATACACAGAACTTTCCTTGATGACAGTGGCTTCAGAGACGGAACCGTGGCCGGGAGCAACGGTTGATGTTCAGCTTCAAGGACCACTGGAACCTTCCCAGCATTACCAACCCCCAAATTTCAATTTTTTAAAAAAAACACTGAGAAAGGATTTTGGCTCCAAAAGTCTGTTTGGTCCTCTAGGGCAGGGGTCCCCGACCCCTAGTCTGTGGCTGGTCTGCACCCTTCCGCCAGCGAGCGTGCCCTGCCCATCCACGAGCACACCCTGCCCACCCGTGAGCGTGGGGGAGTGCCTCTTCCCCCCATGCACGGACCCCATCCCCCAACCGGTTCACGGTTCGGAAAAGGTTGGGGACCGCTGCTCTAGGGGTTTAGGGTGGTAATTTCAGCATCTTTTGGAGGGGGCTCACTACACATGTCCCTACGTCTCAATTTTATTCAATTTCCCCCACAGAATTTATGTGCGTCCCATGATGGTTTAGCACTCCCCCATTTGTGTAAGAAAAATATTTGACGTGGGGGGGCAGGAATCAGTAGATGCATGTGTGTCCACATAGACCCCAGACTTCTGTGGGGTGACCTCCCCATTTTAGAGTGTGAGAGGTCAATGGCATTGGGATGAACCTGTACAGGTGAGGGAAATTTAAATCATAACCCTCACCACTCACCCCCTCCCCAAATTCACCCACCCCCTCAGATCATGGGGGCCAAGGAAAAATTTGGGGTGGGTTGGAGGTGGAGATTCCCTTGACGTTGACAAAAATCTTTATTGGGACTGTGCACACTGGCTTGAACCTCTTTTTAAAATGGTCTACACACACACACAGTAATTATTACGACCTTTGCAGTTTATCCTCTAATCTCTTGCAGAGCTACAGTCCATGTTTAAGAGAGTTAAACAAGTCGGCAGTCAGTCGGACCACAGGGCCTCTCACAGCCATAGACTCCCAGATTTTCTGGTTTCTATTATGCCATTCATTAAATTCCCTTCTGAAATCAGTTGATCAAAGTTGCAAGGAAGGGTTAAAATCCGGATGGGCAGAGCTGAGAAAGTTGGAACTAGAGGGAGGAGGTTGGTTGGTGTTTTTTTTAAAGCATGCCGGGCGGTCACGTGACATGACCTTTCCTTTGCTCTCCTCTTCCGGTAAGAGGACGGCTGATTGTGTGACACTGAAGCCATCCCCTTAGGCATTTTCTGTCGGCAATTGAATCAGCCAGAAGCTGGATTCTCTGAGCTTGGAGCAGGCTTTCCTGCATTTCCTGTGAAGAATTTTCCTTTTTTTTTTTCTTGGGAAGTGAGGTGCTTGAAGGGAAAGAAGAAGAAAGAAACCAAAGAAGAAAGAAGTTCACCTGTTTGCTCTTCATCTTCTAGATCCTTTTGAAAATGGACGTCGGCCTTTACCTTTTACGTATCGGATATCAAGGTCCCATTGAGGCTTCTCTGGATGTTTTGCGCCACCTCCACCGACGCCATCTCTTGTCTGTGCCCTTTGAGAGCCTCAGCATCCACTGTGGGGAACCCATCATCCTAGACCTGCCACTTCTCTATGACAAGATCGTCCAGCGCCACCGCGGTGGCTTCTGTTTTGAGCTCAACGGCCTTTTCCTTTGGCTACTGCAAGCATTGGGATTCGATGCCAAAGGCCTGTCCGGGAGGGTCCGGAACCGCTTCACTGGCCGTTACGGTCCCCCCTTGGACCACATGGTGATTTCGGTGCAGCTGGACCAGCACCGGTACCTTTGCGACGTAGGCTTCGGAGAATCTTTCACGGAGCCTTTAGAGCTGAAGTCAGATGTGGAACAAATCCAGGAAGGTGGCATTTTTTGGCTGGGCCTGAGTGAGGGCATCTGGGTACTCGAGAGGCGAGAAGAATCTGGAAAGCAAGGGAGAGCCCTGTATCAGTTCACCCTCGAGGAAAAGAAATTGGGCGATTTTGCAGGCATGTGCCTCTATCACCAGACCTCACCCATGTCCATCTTCACCTGCAAATCCTTCTGCTCTTTGCACACAGAGGGTGGTGGGCGCCTGACCTACATGGGTCGGCGTCTCATTTCCAGCAAGGGAGAAGAGCGTACACAGACCCTCCTTAAGAGCTCAGAGATTCCCATAATACTGGAAAAACAATTTGGGATGAAACTGGAAAGGGCTTTTACACCAAAGGACGAAGAAATTATGCCACCTCCTGAAGAGGATTTATAATGGAGAAGAGAAACTGATCTTTGGTTTACAACGGAGTTGGGGTTGGTCAAGAAGACCTTTGAGGGGTTCTTTCAAACTTCTAATTGTATAACTGAAACAAAAACAAGATTCATTAGGCTTTTCCCAAACTGGCACTGCTGGGCAGGGGGTTGATGGGTGTCAGAGTTGAACACATCTGAAAGAAACAAGGTTGAGGAAAGTTTGATCATGCTTAACCATATATGCTGGATGAGTCTGGTCTAGTTAGACTCAAAGTTAACAATTAAAAGATTGTTGAAAATGAGGGCTCCCCCCCCTCACAAGGGATTGGTCTGACCAAATCTTTCAACCTGCCTCTGAGTGAGAAACTAGATGATACGCTTAGCATATATTTAAAAGAGGTGCTCCCTCATGTGGAAAAAGGCATCCTTTTATCATAGTATTTAGCATGCTTCGTTTGTTCCAGAACCAGTCATTGGAAGGTGAGTTTTACCTTATATTTTTAACGGCTGAGACATGCATTTCTAAGAAAATATTGTTGTAACAGTTTGGTGCCAGTTTAACAGCCATACTTCTATCCTATAAAATCCTTGCCTTTTGTAGTTTGGTGAGGAACTAAGAACTGTTTGCTATCAGAAAAATAAACCAGCGGGGAACTCCAAGTCCTTCACTAAACTATGAACCTCAGGACTCCCCAAAATGGAACCCTGGTGGTTAAACTGATATCAAGTCACTACAACTGAGCAACGAAGATGAATTCTAAAAGTCCTTGTGGAGGCATGGTTTGAGTGCAGTGCTCTCTTGCATGCTTCAGAATGAAAGTGGAGATTCAAAAGTGGGCCACCAGGACAGCCAGAAAGATTCGGAACAGTTCTCTTGATGCGCCACAGACTAGCAGTCTCACACAGAACTCTGCAATTTCAGGGTCTTTTTAATGCAGAATAAGAAGTGTGTGCCTCGGCTTTCAGAAATGTGAGGACCACCCAGTGATGTCATGACAGCACTTGTTGTTGTTTAGTCATTAAGTCAGACTCTTCGTGACCCCATGGACCAGAGCCCTCCTGTCTTCCACTGCCTCCTGGAGTTGGGTCAAATCCACGTTGGTTGCTTCGATGACACTGTCCAACCATCTCATCCTCTGTCGTCCCCTTCTCCTCCTGCCTTCACACTTTCCTAACACCAGGGTCTTTTCCAGGGAGTCTTCACTTCTCATGAGATGGCCAAAATACTGGAGCCTCAGCTTCAGGATCTGTCCTTCCAGTGAGCACTCAGGGTTGATTTCCTTCAGGATGGAGAGGTTTGTTCTCTTTGCAGTCCAGGGGACTCTCAAGAGTCTCCTCCAGCACAGCCCCGTGCAAAACATGACAGCAGACTACCGTGCAAAACACTGATAGCAACCTTATGCCATATGGAGCAAGCCGATAAGATGGCTCACCTCACTCACAAGACATTGGGAGCACAGGAGGGAGGAGGGGTTGTAGACACCCTTTTAACACCCGAGGATATTTGCCACATCCCAGAGCAGGGAGAGAAAAGAGCCGATGGCGTTGCTTAGGGGAGACCAGGGGCCATGCTAGAAAGTTCATGCTGAGATATATAGAGGAGGTGTCCAAGGAAGAACCAAAGATACTAAGGAGAACACAAAGATTTTTGGACCTGCGCGGACTTCACATTTTTACAACGGATGTGTATCTTTCATGTGTAAGAACTGTGAGTATCAGAAAGGGAAGGGAAGATACCTGGGACAACACGAGGAATGGAGGGAAACCAAAACACTGCCAATTATTGGCAATGCCAAACCAGAGTGGAACAAGGATAGCAAGATGACACCTTGTTTTTTCTTTTTCCTTTTTATAGCAGGGCTTCTCTGCTATTGAAAGCCACATGTCAGGTAGAAATTCAAAGGATCTGATTTTCACCTCTCTTTTTTTTTTTGGCGCTAGACAAAATGCTGCCCCTGTTTTATTTCTGCCTGCATGGGGACTGCCAGAGCTAGAGCAGCAGAACCGGAAAGAAATGTGGCTGATTTTTGGAGGAGAATACATAGCACTTAATTAGAAAATGAGTGAGATGGTGCCTGTTCTAAAAGACAGGTGGTGCTTATTTCATGCCAGATTGGGGTCTGTTGAGCAAGGGGCAAAATGGAACAGTAAGAAGTAGGTTTATTTGTAAATCGTACTGGATGCTTTGCCGGTTAAACAGTCGGTAAACATTTTAAAATATATAAATTTAAACAGAAAGTGACCAATGAATGGCCCACCATTCTGAAGCCCACCAAGGAATGTAGGCAGATAAAATTGTATTGCTTTATCAGACTGTTTAACACAAGGTAGGGGTGGGCATGTTTTCTGATTTCACATGACTTTTTTTCATGCACCATGTGAAGGGTATAATTATTTCAAGGACACCCTGAGCAAGTTGGGCTTGCAAGGTACCAGAATGTGCACTAAAACTATTTCATCATTCAGTTTCCTCTCTCTTATACACACGTGGGTACAGACATAGCATATGTGCAAGTAACTTGTCTCAAAAAAAAAAATTTAATTTAAAGTTTGGGTTTACTGCAGTTCACAAAGTGGGTAGGTTGGGTTGTATCTTTTCAAAACGTTGTAGAGCTTTATTTGCAAAAAAAAAGGAGAGGGAGAATATGCGACTCAGGAGACAAGGAAAAAATGCTTTTCTTGACTGTTTTAGAAGAGGTGGTCATGTTAGTCTGTGACAGCATATCAGGGCAAAAGCAAAATAAAAAAATCAAGAAGACAAAAGCGTTGTGACCTTTTAAAGACTAACTAGTATATTTTAATGTGAGTTTTCGTGGACAACTCCACTTCTTCCAGCGATAACTCTCATAAATCCCGCAGTCAGCATGCTGAGATGTTTCTGGATATTCAAAAGTCTAAAAATGTGCCTTTTCTGACTTCTGATTAGGGGAATCAAATTGGTAGTGGGTTATGGGTGTGTGTGTGTGGATATTTGTGAAAATGAGGCCCCTTTCTTTCTCATTGCTCATCTCTTGTGTTCCCTCACCATCTCTCCACAAAGGGCTCGGTCACAATGGTTCCACGTCAGGAAGTGCCCAACGTCCACATTTTCAGCACCAGGGCTGGGGATGTGATTGTGCGTCCAGACTTAGATTGTTACCTCCTCCTCCCTCCTTTGCCAACCTCGCCCTGCGCCGATCTACGCCCCCTCCATCCTTCCTTGCGAAGTGGAGAACATTATTTCAGCTCCCGATGGTGTGACTCCATCTACGTCATCAGGGGCAACAAGCTCCTGGAAGCCGAAGACCTGACCGCTGGGGCTACGAAGCCGGCCCGTCTCCTGCACGCTAGTTGCTTTGGTGGGCAGCGTTACTTTATCATCGCCGGTGGCTCCATTGGCATCCTCATGGGCCCCGGCACGGTGACGGCCGTGAAGGACTTGTCCACGGGAGAACCAGATCCAGAAGCAGCTCCTCTCGGCCCACGCCAGTGGTTCAAGGAGAAAATGGGGAGCAGCCGTAGCTACCTCTACTGGCAACTGTGGGACCCCTTCAATGGGGAATTCTTTTCTTTCCACCCCAAAATCCTCAGCTTCTTGCCAGGGGGTCTTGGCCTCCTTAAAGGGTCTGCATTCGGAGTTTGGACATTGCTGGACACCATTCGCAACGACTCGGACACCCCTGTCACCAGGGCGCTGGATATAACCCAGAGAGTGGGCTGCGCCACGGAGACGTTGGCTGACATTGGAGATGCCTGGACCGTATCATTGTCGGATGCTCCCAAGCCTGGCTCTGTTGCCGTGGCAATAGCAAAGGCCCAGTTTGCATTACCGGTCCAATATGGCGGCTTAGGCCTCAACACAGAGCAGGAGGAGTGGGAAGAACTGTTTTATAAAGAGAAAACCCTACAATTCACTCTGCAGAGCCAGGAAGGAGCTTATGTGTGGCAATACCAGCTCGGCCTTGGGAAAGAGACGGTCTTGTTCTGTAGGGAGCTTAAGGTCACTCATAGCAGTGACCCACCGTCTGAGATCCCCCTGCCTCCTTCATCCTAAAATGGTGGAGCCAGTTCTCTGCCACTATCTCCTTTTGCTTTCTGCGGCACGTCAAGAGTTTTTAATTTTCATTGTATTTTAATCCTCTTGTTGGATTGAACTGTATTCTCAAGTTTGCTGTTTTTATGGTACGGCTGCTTTAAATTGCCTTGTAAGTTGCCCTGGGTCCCAGTTCTGGAAGAAAGTTGGCCTTAAAACAAAATAGAATGCAAATGTTTTTATGACAGGGGTGTGTTCAACCGTAACGGAATAAAAATGCTTTTTAACTGCCGTGTGACCTGTGAAGCCTCATTTTACACCTGCAGCCTTTCCCCGTGTAAATCCTTAGGTGTGCTCCAGGCCAAGGAAAAGGGGAGAAATAGAATTGTCCCAAAAGAGAGAAGGGGCATCTCAGACTTTGGGCGGGAAAAAAAATAAGCAAGCAAGGCTCGCAGGAAAAGGAAATTAACGCCAGGGGGGAAAAAAGAAGGAGGAGGGAGTGAGGAGAAGAGGCAGCCCTTTCATTAAATGGATTCACTTATTGAAGGAAACCACAGGCTGGAGTCTGCAAGACCCAAGGAGGGCCGTTCATGACCAGTGTCTTCTGCAAACCCTATTGATCCGGTGCAAGACCGCGAGAGGCCAAAAGTGATGCAAAACTGACCCCCCCCACACACACGTGGCTTTGCTTTTGCAGACCCTGAATTCACATCCTGACATACACACACACACGTTTGCAAAATAAAAATAATAAAGGCAAGCAACGTCCAAGCTCGCGACTGGTTTTTTCTTTCTTTCTGTTGCAGTTATTTATTTATTTATTTAGCAACGGATCCACCCCCGCCCCCAGATCTCCTCCTCCTCTTCCTCCCCCTCGGTAAGGCGGAGCCGAGCCGCAGCAGCCTCCTCCTCCGGCGGCCTCTTCCCGGAAGGCGCCGCCGCCGCCGCCGCCACGGCCCGCCTGGGCGCTCCCGCCGTGCAAAGAGAGGCCGCGCCGACGGAATTCGGTGAGATCCGCAGGTTGGCGCTTCTGTCATCCTTCTCTCCCCGCCTTTTAATCTCGAGATCGGGGGCTGCGCCTTTGCTTGCAGGTTTCCTCTGCCTGTTCCTTCTCTGGCCTCCTCCTCTTCCTCCTCCTTTCTGGGGCTCCCCAATTCATTTACCCCCCTCCCCTAAGTAAACAGGGTGGGGAAAAATGCTTGCGTCCCCCGTGCATGGAGCAAACCTCTCCTTTGCATAGGAAATAACGGGTGAGCTTCGATCTCTCTCTCTCTCTCTTTGGGGGTGGGATCCTTTCTAACTGGCACAGGGAGCATGGCTATTAATCGATAATGCGAGTTAGCACTCTGCACGTGCTCAGAGGCGCTCTCTGGAGAGATCATAGGCACCAAGAGTCCTCAAAAGCTTATGGTGGCACCCCATCTGTGCAGCTGGGTTCATGCCTCGACATGTCAGGGATGGTTCTTGACCTCCACCTCCCCACCCCCTTCCAAATGCTTGGACCGGACCCCATGAGCCGGGAAGACCACAGAGTTACCAGTATGACCCAGTAAGAAAGGGCACGGAAGCTTTTAATTCAGAGTGCCAGTGGGAATTTTCCGGTGGTGGGTGGGGTATGGAGGCTGCATAGTGGCGCATTGACATCCTTCATGCACGTGATGCTCCACGATAGCAAACCACACAGACGCTGCGTTTGTGTACATAAAAACAATAAAGAAGTGGAGCCTTCATGGGATTTAGGGATCTCCATTGTCACCTATGGAAAAAACACTGGGCCCTATCAAGGTGGATGCATCATCATCATCATCATGGCCAAACGGGTATGCAAAGTGCCAAGGCTCAACAGAATGAAGCAGGCGTGCACAATCCTGTCAGATTTCGTCCACAAGAGTCATGGCCTTCGGAGTGGCCGTTGTGGAGCCAGTTTCCCCAAGGAGCTAATCCCCGGCTCCCTCCCTGCGGACATTTAAGCGGCATCTTAAAATATAGCTTTTCAGGGAGGAACTTCCACACCAGGCCTAGTTGACTGGACACCTCTTGTCCGGCCGTTTATGGAAAAATTGCTTCAGGTGCTATGTGTTTTAATTCCTATTAGATGACAGCGTTTTGATCTGTTGCCGTTTTATTTCTCTTTTGAGTTTCTGTTTCCTTTCGTCACTCGCCCTGAATAGTGGCTCTTGAGAATTTATTTACTTAAGTAAGTAAATAAATTCTCAGGCCAAATCCAGGTACAGGAAATTTCGTTCTTCTTAAGAAGCACACCTGTGCCTTATAAATGGCAGACTATCTTCCCTCTCCCCGTTTTTGGTCCATGAGTAATTAATGTTATGTCCTGTGGTTTCAATTTATGGCACCCCTCCTAGGGTTTTCTCAGTTTTAAAAAAAAGTGCTTAGAGATGGTTTTCCGGTATCTCTGTCTGATTTGGGGGTGTTTTGGAACCACTGTGCAGTTTGCCCAAGGCCACCCAAATGTGGCAGGGCACATAATCCCCCCCCCATCATCCACACACATTCAGGGTCATCTCGGCTGGCCCCTCTTCTAGGTGGCACTGTGGTGATTCAAACTCCCGGGCCCGGGCGCTCCAAGCCACCGAGCTACCCATAACACTAAAGCTGAGATTTAAAAAAAAAAACTTGAAATCCCACCCATTTTAAGTCTGGGTTGTTTGTGTGCTAGCTGCTAGCAGCTAGCAGCCCTGAAGTCCTAACTGAAAAGATACGATTTTGTTTTCCTAAATTCTGCATTACCAGGAAATTTAGGATGATTTAATCTAAATGGAATGTGGAGAACCTGAAGATGTGAAAAGTCAGCTGAAGTTACAAAATTGAATGCAGGTTGTGTAACTACCGGTCTCGTGCAAAATTCGGATGGCATCATGGCCGTGTCAGAGCTTTTAAGCTGCAGTACGTTCAGTGCTAACCATCACATCTGTTTACTCAGTGATGTCCACTCTGGGAAACAGAAAAACCGGCGTTCCCACCCTTCCTTCTGCTCTAATGAAGTATTAAAATCTTCTTGTTGAGGACAGCAAGTTTCGTTTTGAAGATTAGCAGCGCACCACCAAATCAAGCTAGAAGTCTGTTTTGGCTAGCACCCTGCTTCCCACAGTGGGCAACCAGTTACGTATAGGAAGCACATATTTAGGAACACATTAGCTCCTTTGAATTAATAATAGTAACCCTGTTTTTGTACAATCACACAGGCAGTTACTCAGACTGGAACCTGCTTTATACTATTGAGCCTCTGAACTTGGAAGCTCTATTAATCTACAGTGGCCGATACCTACTGATAAGAATGCTAAGCTGCGTGTCTCGCCCATCCTTCTTTTTCCTAGATCTTCATGGCTTCCGTTGTCCCCCGGACGGTGTCTCCCGGCACGGATATATTCACCACGCGCCACGGATCCTTCATTGTTCGTTCAGATTTGGGTTACTACCTTCAAACTCTTGATTTCTCCTTGGGAGAGGACATCAAGGTGTCAGATCTCCACCCGGCCTGCCGAGGCAAGGACCACTACGTGGGAGACCCCACCGGTTCAGACATCTACCTGATTCATGGGGACTCCTTCTGCAAAGCCCTGGACTTGAACTCAGAGCCTCCTTCAAGTGTCCTGCCGTTACACTCCAGCTGCCAAGGAGGGGACCATTACACTTCCTCTGAAGGCCGTTTCTTCATCTTCTTCCTGAAGCGCGGCGTGGTCCTCTCCGTGGCTGACCTGGCCACTGGGGCTGCCCCCAAAGAGGTCTCCCTGGAGCCTGCGTTTCTTGATGGACTGTATTATTACGGTGCCGACACCAAACACGTGGCCTGTTTAAGGATGGATGAAGACAATCGCCTACACGGCCATCTCTTTGTTATCCCTGTGGGACAGAAGGAGTCCTTCTCTGTCCACCCCGATGTGGTCTCTTTCCTTCCTGGTGGCCTGGCCATTACCTACGGGGCTGCCTTCGGCGCATGGGAGTGCCTCAAGCTGATCTCCAACGCCACAAGCCTGCCGATGCCCAGCAGCCACGAGATCACCCGCAAAGTTGGCTACTCCAAGCAACCATTTGTCCGGAACTACCACATCTGTGGATCTGTCGATCCCAACTCTTTGGCCATCTCACTTCTCCAGTCCCAGTTCTCTCTCTGTGTCGCTTACGGCGGGATGGGGGTCCGGACGGAGCAGGAAGAGTGGGAGGAGGTCGCTGAAGAGGGAGAACCTTTGAGGGTGATCTTGCAGCCCAGACAGAAGCTGTACTGGTGGCATTACCAGCTTGGGTTAGGGAAAGAGCCCCTCCTGTTTTGCCGGTCGCTCAAAATCACCCGCAGCCCCTCACCACCGACCCACATACCTCTGCCGCGGGCTGATTCCTGACGCCGGGACTAAGCGACGAGAGAGGTCTTGCTGTTTGGGATTGGGAAAATGGATAAGGATTGTAAATAAAAGGCATTAACTTACCTTACTCAGCCTCCTGTTGGTTTGGGGTTCTTCCCAGTTCCTGTTGGTTCTGAGGTTCTTCCCAGAGCAACGACAGTAGCTGAGATTCTCTCCATGTAGAAAGACATTTTACCTATGCCCCATTACACGCTCTCGGTGTTTTGGAGCAACATTTTGTGGGAAGAACAGGGCAGTTCATGGGGGAGATCAGGAAAATCCTGTCCCAGGAGTTCTGTTCCTCTTGTCTCTCTTTAGATCAGAAAGCACTCGTCATCCATTTTGACACTCTGATGCCCCCACCACCATATTGCTTGTTATTTATACCAAATGAGAAGACAACAAGCCTTTTTTTAAAAAAAAAACTGCAGGAAACTTTCTAGGTTTATTAAGGCCTCCTAGAAAGTTCAAAATGCCCTTCCATACTTTTTGTTACCCACTCCCGTAGATCAGATCTTGTATTCAGTCATCAAGTTTATTACCATGTCTTATGCTGATTGATTATAGGTCTTTGAACTCCAGGGTTTGTAAAATTTAAGAAGGCTAGTTCAGAGATTGAAACCAGTTGGCACTTGTTTAACCGTGTGAAAAACTGACTGGGTGGGTGGGTAGAACAGACCTTATATTACACCTCCCAGAGAGGGCAATATAGCAACCGTAGTGTTTGGAAAGGCAGTGTTAATTCGTCTAAAACCAGTGGCTCAAAGGTGAATGGAAATAAAGGGTTAGATTGCAACCCAGCTTGGAAAGAACCGGCTGGAGAATAGGAGCAATGAAGGACTGAAGAAAAAGCAACTCAGAATCCCTTACAGCAGATATGGCTTAATACCCACATTCTGGCCCTTTTATGAAGAAAATCAGTAAATTGATTTTCTGGGAAAATAAGCCAATTTGAAAAAAAAATTCAGGGCCTGGAATTTCAGGGCCTAAAAAAAGTTTAATTTTGATCTACCAAATTCATTTGGCATATATATTCAAAAAAACTTCTGAATATCTTAATAAGCAGAAATACCTGTGGGGTTTTTTGTTTGTTTTTAGAATGGCAGACAATAAACAATGGGAACCTAGATTCTTCTTAGCCTGCTTGGCTACAGAGCTTGTAGTATATTCAGGCAGCTACCCTTGTATCTCCGCACCTTCTTTAGACATACCCTCAGTATATCTTCCTACATTATTGTCTTGTAAATTTGAAACACATCAATGGGCACTCTGCGTCTTAACTGGAGAGTCCATGTAGTAGAGAATAATAGTAAACAATGGGAACCTAGATTCTTCTTAGCCTGCTTGGCTACAGAGCTTGTAGTATATTCAGGCAGCTACCCTTGTATCTCCGCACCTTCTTTAGACATACCCTCAGTATATCTTCCTACATTATTGTCTTGTAAATTTGAAACACATCAATGGGCACTCTGCGTCTTAACTGGAGAGTCCATGTAGTAGAGAATAGAATACAGTGGCGCCTCGCTAAACGATGTTAATCCATTCTGTCAAAACTGCTGTCTTGTGAAAACATTGTTTAGTGAAGCACGATTCCCTATTGGAATGCACTGAAATCCATTTAACGCGTTCCAATGGGGAAGGATCATCATTGTCCAGCAAAGATCACCCATAGGAAAGCCGTTTTGCGAACCATCGATCAGCTGTCAAAATCGTTGTCTAGCGAAAAACGGTCCCAAAAACACCTATTTAGCGAAGCTGTCAAAATTGTCATCTAGCGAAAATCAGTCCTGAAAAAAGCGTCTTGCGAAGCACGTACTGAATCATTGTCCAGCGCTCAAAATTGTCATCTAGCGAAAATCAGTCCCGAAAAAAGCGTCTTGCGAAGCACGTACTAAATCATTGTCCAGCGAAAATCACCCATAGGAAACACCGTTTTGTGAAGCACTATAGCGCTTGCAAAATAACCATCGTCTAGTGATTTCCTCGTCCTGCAATAGTCTAGCAAGGTACCACTGTAATGGAGTTGGAAGGTGCCTATTAATGCCATTGAATTCAACCCCCTGCTCAATGCAGGAATCCAAGTCAAAGCAGATCTGACAGATGGAAACTGTGGGTTAAGACAGTCACAGTAAAAGCATCCTATCGGTAATTCCAGTTAACTGTAGACCCACAATGGATCATTTGCTAAATAATAAGTCCTGCTACATCCGTGAATCCACTCTGCTTGGAACCAGCAGTACATCACGTATTTTGGTTTTGATATCACCTGCACCGTTAAAATATGAGTTTGTAACATGATATTGGTTTGGCCTTAGTGGGTTTGGGGGTTTTCTTTTACACATACCCCTTTACAAATTGCTAGAACTAGAGATCGTCACCTAAAAGAATACAGCTTTCATAACAGCAAGAGTAACAATTTGGGTCCTGGCCTAAGTCCTGTTTAAGGATACAAGAATAATTTGCGACTATTCTTCAAACCTGCTCACAGCACTTAATAATTGCATTTGCTTCTATTCGTCATCACTGGTGAATTCTACAAAGTAATGATTTTTTTAAAAAAAGAAATGAAGGATTTTGTGGAACAAATAACTATTATCTTCCTCCATCCACCCAACCCCACTGGTGAGAGGCTACAGATGTAGGGCTAAATAGCTCACCATTCGGGCCCTGAAGAATTCTAGAACTTTTCATAGTTCTAGAATTTCAGAACACGGCCAAAGAGCGCAAAAGACCCAAAACAACCTCTAGAACTTTTGCTTAGCATTTCGTGGGGCCCATATCACTTCCTGTGTTTTTGGGGAACCCTACACCTCTGCCCACTTCGCTGTGCCTGGTGGAACGTCATGGTGGCCACTGGGTGAACAAGAGTCCTCAAAAGCGCTGACCATTCTCTGTACTGGGTCGGACTTCTGGGTACTGTCGTTCAAGAACATCTGGGTCTGCTTTGAGAAACACAGCACTAAGGTTTCAGTGCCGGTCCCCCCCCCCAAGAATTTGGAAATGTTATCTTGCTTGACTATCAACTCCAGAACAGAGGCTGCGAAGAGTCTAGAAATCACTGTCCAGAAAAGCAAATTTTCCAAGCTGGGAATCATTCCTCCTGAATGGCATTATATTCCTTTTGCTGTACAATATCAAAATTCATTATTATTAGATCAAGAGAAATATCGTTTGGTCAGAAATCACAAATTCCTAGCTAGCTTTCAAAAATTATTCAAGTTTCTATGAAGAAAGCAAAAGCTCTTTTTCTACCTCTCACCGCCTTTGATTGAGAATGTGAAAAACAATGCACAATTTCCTTTTTTTTCCTCTCTCTCTCTCTAGAATAAACAGGATATTGAAGGTTCCTTTCAATGTTTTTTTTTTTTGTGGGATGGGTATCTGTTTTGAATAATTTGGCACTTTAAAAAAATCTAAGAAGTTTCATTATGATCTTAATTTCAGAAGGGACTTTTAAAAAATCTCCACGGTAAAAATGTCAGATATCTTTCATATCTGGAGAATATGCTCAGTTATGTTTAGAGGACCATATTTCGAAATTCAAATAGTAAAAAACAATTTTTCAAGGAACTGAGCTGCAATTTAAAATGGCACTTTCTTGTCATTTTGCTACCTTTACTTGGGCCACTATATTTTCTTCCCCCACTCTGGAAGGAAAAGAATCCGTTTCCCAGTTGTTATTTTTCAACAAGACCTAAAGTAAGCTACCCTAATACCTCCCTACCTTTTTAAAAATTGTACTGGGAGTCATGGCTTTAATCCCAGAAACTGTACCCACTGTATTGCTGCATAGACCAAAGATGGACAACACGTGGCCCTCCAAGATGACTGGACTATCACTCCCATAATCCTTCATAAATGCCTACGACTGATGGGAGTTAAGAGTCCGGCATCTAAGAGAGCTACCAGCTGCCCAACCCTCATGTACCGTCTGGAATCCTACTTCGAACGCCTCTCGTAGAGCAATTCCTGATGTTATTTTAGGGCAGGAATGATCCATGGAATGTTAAATATTCACAGTGGAACTTCCTTCTATGAGAGAAGGAAGCTGTGCTACAGGGTTCGCTATTGCTCTGCATACTTTTGGCGAGCCATACAATGGCCATATTGTGTAGAGTAACTTAACCCTGAGTTACTTCGGTGTGACTCTGAAGACCACTTCTTTCTGAAACTAAGAGATTTTGCTCCCGGCTAGTAAAAGGGAAGTGATCTGTCAGCCAAGGACTCCATAATTTTGGTACAAAAAAGGGCAACGTCATCTTATCACAGTGTTAAGACGGCAAAGGTGTCTTCCGCAGTTCTCTCATCAGCAGGTGGGGTCTCAAAGGACTCGCACGGATAGTCCAAAACCATCTTGTTTAGAGCTGCCATGAAGGCTCCCCCCCCCCATGTGCGTGTCCAGGTTAGGGTATTAGAAATTTGTTAGTTCAAAACGTCAGGTTGAGAATTGCTTCTGAAAGCTTGTTGAGGTCTTGGCAGGAAGGCTCCCGCATAAGAACAAAATCCACTTTCTTGTCCTGATCCACAAAGATCTCTAGAAGTTCCCTCCTCAGCCGTTCGGTCTCTGCTTTAGGCCGAAGCCTCTCCTTCTCTGGGGTGGCGCCTCTCTTTGGACTGCCGGACAACCCACCCGGTGGCCTCCTGTCTCTCAGCTGAAGGACTTCCGTCTGCGAGGCAGGCCGCATCGGCACAGGGGTGGGCACCGAACGGCCGCTGAAGGAGTGACAGTTCATAGCCTTGGTCCTGCGGGGGGGGGAGGGGGTTAAAAAAAGGGAAATTCAGTCTCAGACTCTGTAAGGCTCAAGAATGAGTAAGTTGTTGAGACAGAGGAAATACTTAAGTGAATATAAGGAACTTAGTGAGGCTTGATGATGAGTAGAGATTGGGGTATTCGTATATGAATACGAATTTCGTATTAGTATATGAATACAAATTTCGTATTCATATATGAATACGAATTTCCCTGTGCAGCTGGAGTTAACCAGGGTCCTCCCTCCCCTTGCCTGGAGTGGGAAGAGAGGGGGGCTTTGGGAGGGATTGGAAGGATGAGCGAGGCCACCGCTGCCAGACCCATTAGTGGACAGTTCGGATTCAGGGGGATCTTCATTGATTCCAGCTGCACAGGGAAATTTGTATTCGTATACGAATACCCCCATCTCTAACGATGAGGCAACACAGTTCTGATTGCTCTTTTGGTTGAAGAACATGACACCAACGGCAGCTTGGATCTTCGAATCGGAAAATTGGAAGGGGAAACACCAAGGTCATCAAGTCCAACCCCTGCCAAAGCAGAATGACCTTCTTCCCTCCCAAATACTGGCCCTTCCTCCTGTATGTCTCAGAGGGGGAGGTGAGACCGGAGAACTCATGACATCAGCCTGGCTGAAGTCCACTGCCATCTAGAGGCTGTCACCCCAGACCTTCCTCAATCAGAGGAACCATCCAAGCTGGACATGATGCCACAATATTAAATGCAATATTAAATGCACTTTTGCATCTCTGTCTGTTTCCCTCCCTCTCTCTCTCGAACTTCCAGCTTCTTCTTTTACGTATCTTGAGGTATGTAAAAGTTCATCCTAATGGCTTACAAGACGCATCTTTTAAGCCATTAGGGCAAAACTCCAGCAGCATCCAGATTAAAAGGGAACACAGTGAACCTTCAAAATTTGAACCTTAAATTTTGTTTTAAATCTTTCTCTTCCCTCTCAAAAAGCAGTTTCCAAGGAAAAACAAAATCCCTCACATGCGTTGCTACCTTTTAAAAAGCAGATTCCATAATTTTTATTTGTAGTTCCTTGTTCAGAATTCTCTTTTTAAAAAAATAAGAAAAATTGAGGTGGGCCACGTTGAGCTTCCACATATTTTTAAATGACATCTCCCATCATCTCTAACTACTGGCTAGGACTCACGGGAAGGGTTTAAATCTGGAGGGCCAGACATTGGCCATACCTGCACTAAACGCAAGCCGGCTATAACTGAGTTAGGCTGAGATCCATTAGCTTCAAAATAGCTGCTCTTCCTGCGGCTGACCTGGTCAACTGGAAGATATGTTTTCCCACTTTCCACAAACTACTACATAGCTAGAAATGATCAATATAGATATGTTTCAGGGAGGCTAGTTAAGATCTTTTGTGGAATCCTTTGTCCTTCTGCCATTAAGGTCAATGAAAGCACATTGAACTACGACAAGTTTGTTTCCAGTGCCATGGTTCCATTATAGCAATAACCTCCATGCACTTTGCAGCTCTGGCCACCAGGGGGTGCCGCATGAAAAGCTGACATAATAGTTGTGTGCCATCAAGTCAATTCTGAATAATATTAGGCATCCTTCAGTCTCAAGAGACTATGGTGTCGTGCTCTGTATGGAGGACTTGGAACAGTGTCTCGTGTGGCTGAGAAGGCCAATTCGAGAGTGACCATCCCTTCCACACTGAAGACAAATGCAATCTGTCCCCTGTCCAGCTCCCTGATTTTGTTGCTTTCGGGACTTTGCCTCGGCCTGCTGGACAAGGGACTCTTCAAATTGGGAGAGGCCGTGATGCACCGCCTGCCTCCAGGCTGAGCACTCAGATGTCAGGGTTTCTCATCTGCTGAGGTCCATTCCTAAGGCCTTCAGATCCCGCGTGCAGATATCCTTGTATCGCAGCTGTGGTCTCCCTCTGGGGTGATTTCCCTGCACTAATTCACCATACAGGAGATCTTTTGGAATCTGACATTCTCACGACATTCCCAAGCCGACGTAGACATTGCTCTTTCAGTAATGTATATATGTTAAAAATTCCAGCTCATTCTAGTGTCCTGCCAGGTGATACCAAAAATGCATTAGAGACAACGCATATGGAACGTGTTCAGCTTCCTCTCCTGCCATGCACAAGGAGTCCAGGACTCACTGCAATACAGGAGTGTGCTCAGGACATAGGCTCTATAGACCTGGATCTTGGTATATGTCGTCAGCTTCTTAATGAACCACAGTATACTCTCTTTGTGAGCCTTGAGAACCATGGTAGCTGTTTTGCCAATGCGTTTATCCAGCTCAACTAGGTAAGGAATACTCAGAAGTGATTTACCAGTCCCTTCTTCTGGGAGAAGCTCCGGAACGGTGCAGCTTGCCCATGGCTACACAGGCTGGCTAGGAGTCAGAGCTGGGAACTGAACTCCCAACCTCTGGCTCCGCAGTCAGATACGTAAACCACAGAGTTATCCAGCCAGCTCCAAAAGTTGAAAGGTCCTCAGATTTAAAGGGATTTCCTCCCCAACCCACCTGCTCTTGTTTCCAGCCCTATCTTTCAGGATACTTCCACCAAACCATGAAGATTGAGCTCTTTTAAACTTAAATGCGGCCTCCGAAACCCAGCCAAGAGTGTATAACTGGGAACCCATCTATTCACTGTTAGGTATCCTGGCTAGAACTGATAAGATTTGCAGCCCAACGGTCTCTGGTAGAGCCCAAGGTCAAGACTCTTGGGACCTCAACTTAGGAGATCTGGGTTCTAGTTCCTCCTTCCCCAGCCTATCCCATCTCAACCTATGAACCTCAGTAGGTGACCTTGGGCCCATCAGTGTCTCAAGTTACTCTTTTTTTGGAGATAAAAACATGTGGGACAGCGATGTGCACAGCCTCAAGCTCACTTGAAGACAAAGGCAAGAAGGTACGTTTCACTCTCGGGTTCCAAGCGTGGATACATACCCGGGACTTTTCTTCAGGAATTCTGCTAAGGTGGGTCCCTCACGGCCCAAGGGGTCATCTGGAACCATGAAGATGTTCCCCACGAAGATGTACTGGAGAAGGCTGGGTCAGAGAGTAACAGGAGAGTCAACAAGGGGGTCACACAGGTCTGGCCACAAAGGGTGAGGTATTTCTAAACATCAGGGAGGGGGCACTGTTGCAGGCCGCCACCCTCAGAGCCCACCGGGGTCCTCACCGGATGATGCAAAACAAAAACCCCCACCAAGCCTGCAGCTCTTCACTTTCAAAGCACATGCTTTGTGGTAATTCTGCTGGCTGGGGCATTCTGGAAGCAGTTGTCAAAAAATGCACTGCGGCCATCTCTGTTCTTCCCAAATACGAGGTTTGTAGAATCATACCATAGAATCATTGAATCATGGAGTTGGACGGGGCCTATAAGGCCATTGAATCCAAACCTACTGTTCAAGGCAGGAATCGAGATCAAAGCAGATCTGATGGATGGCTGTCCAATTTTCTCTTGAAGGCCACCAGTATTGGTGCACTCAGCACCTCCAACGGTCATTGGCTCCATAGTTTTACTGGTCCAACAAGACATTTTTTCTTGATATTGAGTCTAGATCTGGCTTCCTGTAGCTTGAGCCCATGATTACGTGTCCTGCATTCTGGGATGACTGAGAACAGATCCTGCCCCTGCTCTGTATGACTCTACTTTTCAAGTATTTGAAGAGTGAGATCACACCTCCCCTTAATCTTTTTTTTCCCCTCAAGGCTAAACAGGCCCAGTCCGTTCTCATCGGGCTTGGCTTCCAGTCCCTGATCCTCCTTGTTGCCCTGCTCTGGACTTGCTCCAGTTTATCGGCATCCTTCTCCCAGTCCCTGATCCTCCTTGTTGCCCTGCTCTGAACTTGCTCCAGTTTATCGACATCCTTCTCAAAGTGTGGTGTCCAGAACTGGACACAGTACGCTATAGAGGAGGCCTAACCAGGGCTGAATACAGGGAGGCAAGTACCTCGCTGGATTTAGAGACAATGCAGCCTAAAATAGCATTTGCTTCTTTTGCAGCCACATCACACTGTTGGCTCCTATTATATTCCATTCCACTTTTTCCCTTGCCCCCTCCTGAGGCCAAGAAAAGGGCTCGGCGGTCCCCGTTTCACCTTTCCTTGATGATCCTGGCCCACTTCTTGGACTCTTTTGCAAGATCCCTGAACTGGTCGTTGGTGACGATGACACCGTTAGTTTGTTCCGCAAGCCTGAGCATCAACCTGGGTGGGAGCAGGAGCGGGGAGTGGAGGAAACATAGAAAGAAAAGAACCCATTAAGACCTTCAAGGGGAATATTATACCTTCTCTGGCTTAGACATTTCCCAAATGCTCCACGTGGAGACACACTCCGCATGTCAAGCCATAGATCCCTGTCGTGCTGCAAAGGATTCTGGGTCGGGTGACGTCCATAATTTCCCCTGGGTCTCACTTGTGGACCCCTGATTGAGCTGAGCGTGCTCTTTGGGACATATCCAGTTTCCCCCCCCTGCGGTTATATCTCGCAAGGAGTCATAAAGCAAACAGAGGTGCTCAGAGTTTCAGGGAAACTTGTTTCCCACAAGGGACCCTCTTCTGCACAGAAAAAGCCACGAGACATTTGCAAAGAAGGGCCGAAACTCCCATTAATAATTACCTACTAATTTTCCACGAACTTGAACAAAGTCCACACACACTGGATGATTCCTGTCCCCATGACAGTATTATCTCTTCTACGCCAGTGTGGAACAGCAGCTCGATCAAGCACAGGGAATGTGCAGCCTTCCAGACTCTGTTCGGACTACAACACCCATGACCCCCCTCATTTTGTCGGTAAAGGTTGACAATAGTTGTAGTCCAACAGCCTCTGGAGGACTCCTATACACATGCACAAGATCTCAGGCTCTGGGTTTAATGGCCAGACAATTGAGTGAACTTTGAGCCAGCTACCTGGGACTGAAGAGTCACAAAGAGTTGGACACAACTAAACAACAACAACACCTTGGACTGAACCTGGGTCATGACTAGAGTTTTGGCTGCAGTGCTGCAGTTTAACCACTTTGCCACCAGAAAGCAGTTAAAAGCATATTTATTTCTATGATTCTGCGGGAAATAAATAGCACTTTATGGGTTTCCCGATGCATACGTATATGGGTTTTAAAACTGTGTTTTACTAGACATTTGTAATTTGTGGAAACTTCAAATGTCTGGAAATCTGGGATCTGGGATTTTCGTCTTTACACCAGTGGTTTCCAAACTCTTGGACTCCCTTTTATAACAGCCAAGTAACCACGATCTCCACCATGTTTGCAGGGGGGGAAATCCTTTTTAACGGGGCAAAGCCATCCGTTGTCATAAAGCAAAGGCTTCTTTCTCCCCTAAAGAGTCTGTTTCTCGTACATACAAAGACACGCTCACTTGAATATTCTGCTTGAAAAGTCAAGCGAGAAATTATTGAACAAGGGCTACAACACGTACAAGGTGACTTGCAACCCTCTAGGGGGTCATGATCCCCCAGGTTGGGAAACACTGCTGTAAACAGAATCTCCTAGCTGAGTAACAGCAGGGTAAGAGCCACATGTACATAAGGATTTGGCTATTTAACTGGAAAGGATCTTTTCTCCTTCTGTCCCTCCTGGGCCATGATGGACTTCTGCTCTTTTATACAAGACTTGCTTTTTTTCCTTACCCATAAGACACTGTGACTCAAAAGGTTTGCATGTAGCCCTCCCCACCTCCACTGGTCCCCATCTGCCGGCAGACTCATTTCCTGCTCGGCTGTCGAGCTGTGGCTAAGGTGACTTCACGTCAAAACACCAGGGTATCTTGTACCTTGCAATCTGGAAAACCCGACCTGGGGAAAAACCTAGGGAATGTCCAAGTTCAGGCAGAAAGTAATATCAAAATTACAGAATTATTTCTGCAAGAGCCCACCGTGAGTGCAATCAGCTTCTACAAAATAAAGCTAAAACTGACTGCCAGTCACTTGACAACTGAATATTAATTCTTAAACTCTCCCTTCCAACATGCATGCCGCACCTTGCAAAAATAGTAATAGCAACCAGAAAACCAGCATATATTTACACTGGAGTAAGTATACACTGGCATAAGCAATGCGCAGCCTGAGTAATTAAATTGTAAACCACAGCCAGAGAATGCTTTAAGCGCTATGGGGTGAGATAAAAACAGAGCACCTTGCTTTTACTTTGCTTTGACGAACAGCTGCTAATTAATGAGTTCCCGCTTGAATACTTAGTCACGTTCTGAGTTGCACCGCTGGTACGCAGCTAGAAAATCATTTGGGAACTCAATAATTAGCAGCTATTCACTGCTCCAAGGAATAGCTATTCACTTGGAATCTGGCCATAAATAATTAGGCTGTTACGGTATTTTTCCAGGTATAAGACGCCGCACTTTTCTAACCCCAAATTTCTTTCTTTGCAAGAAAGTGGAGGGGGAAGGCAGGGATCAAAGTGATTTGATTCATGCTTTCCCCCTCCACTTTCTTGCGGGGAAAGTGTTTTTTGCAAAGAAAGTGGAGGGGGGAAGCACTTCCTCACAAGAAAGTGGAGGGGGAAAGCAGGAATCACTTTCCCCCTCCACTTTCTTTGCAAAAAATGGAGGGGAAAAGTGCTTTGATTCCTCCTTGCCTCCTCATTACCATGTATAAAATGATCCTCGATTTTTCCTCTAATTTCGCAAAGGCTTTCACGGCTGAGATCTAATGGTTGTTGTCGGTTTTTCGGGCTCTTTGGCCATGTTCTGAAGGTTGTTCTTCCTAACGTTTCGCCAGTCTCTGTGGATGGCCTCATCAGAGGACAGGAGTCAGAACTCTGTCTGTACTCTGGTGCAGTTTGCTTGGATAGTTGAGTATTTATAGCTATGGGATCAGCTTTTGTCCTTTTCAGGAGATGGGTGATTATGGTATTGTATACATCCACAACAAAAACACACTGATCACCATAATCACCCATCTCCTGAGAAGGACAAAAGCTGATCCCACAGCTATAAAAATTCAACTCCCAAACAAAGTGCACCAGTGAACAGAGTGCTATTCCTGTCCTATGAAGATGCTGGCCACAGAGATTGGTAAAACGTTAGGAAGAACAAACTACAGAACACAGCCAAAGAGCCTGAAAAACCCACAACAACCATTTCCTCTAATTATTTTATGGAAAATGTGTCATTTCCTAAACAGAAAAATAAGGTAACTATAACAGGTACTGAATCATAGAACAGTGGAGTTAGAAGGCAGCCAAAAGGCCACTGAGTCCAACATCCTGGTTCAGTGCAGGAATCCAAATCAAAGTATATCTCACAGGTGGTTATCTAGTTTTCTCTTGAATGCCTCTAGCACCACCTCCTGTAGTAACTGGTTCCGTTGTCCTACTGCTCTAACAGTTAATAATTTTTTCCCTGATATTCAGCCAAAGTCTGGCTTCCTGTAGCTTGAGTCCATTGTTACATGTCTAGCACTCTGGGATGATTGAGAACAGATCCTGCTCTTCCACTCTCTGACTATCATTCAAGTATTTGAAAAATGTGATCATATCTCCCCCTTTGTCTTCTGTGTTACGTGGGAGGGGGGGAAAGAGGGGGGGAAGAAAGGAAAGAAAAGAGAGAGGGGAGGGCGAGAGGGGAGGGAAGAGGAGAGAGGGACGCTTTGCCCCAGCCAAAGAATGACTGACTTGTTCACTTTGAGGGTGATGAAAAGTACCCTATAATGAAACAGTGCTAAATAGGCATTATTGTATTACTGCAACTTCAGTACAGCTCATATGATGAACAGGTAAGAATCTATGCAAACATACTAAGGCCAACTGACTCAATGCAATCTACTTTTCAGCAAACATGCATTGCATTTTTTAAAAATCTTAGCCACACTGGTATCTTGAACTATGATTCCTATACATATTTACCTAGCAGTAATGGGGCTTGTACTTGAGTGAACAAATACATGTTTGCTCTCTTCGTTGCCGAAAAAAATTGGGAAGGTGTCACACGAAAGTCCCGATGAAAAGAGATTTTGATGAAATGGATCTTTCTTTTAAGCAAAGAGTGGGGTTTTGTAAATTGGGAATCGTTCCTGGCCCTATTTATTTCTGTTAGCAAATGAAGACTTGGTTTCAAATATATCTTAAGGTGGTTTGTCCATGACATTGAACACACACACTTCAGAAGCATGGAAATCCTAACATTCAGAGAATCACAGGATTTTACAGCACTAACATGTTACACTACACACCCAGGGACTCCAAATTCTGCACCAAAAAAGAGGAAAAAACTGAATTCCTCAAGCTTTGTTCTAAAGGACCAAGAAGATAAATTTGAATGGGAGCAGTGGTATAACAAAATACATCAAAGAATCTTGCCAAATGTTAAAAGACTAATAATTTTATTTGGCAGATCCACTAGTGTGGCGTAGTGGATAGACTGACAGACTAGGACTCAGGAGGCCTGGGTTCGAATTCCAACTTGGCCATGGAAACAGTCTGGGGGAGGGGAACTGGGAAAAACCACTCCTTAAATATCTCACTCACCTTGAAAGCCCTGTTAAGGTCGCTGTAAGTTGGTTCTGACTTGATGGTACAGAACCGCACATCATTTTATTTGACAGAAGCCTTCATGGACTCTAGCCCTCCAGTTCCTCAAATGCATGGGACGAATTACAGTCCTCAAAAGTTTAGGCCAAATTAAAAGCGCCTCAAAACTCTTGTCACTTTTGATGCAGCAGATTAACATATCTATCATCATCATCATCATCATCATCTCAGAACTGCAGAGCAGGAAGGGACTCTATCGATCATCAACTCCTGCCCCGGTCATGGGGGTACAGTACGGAACTGAACTCTCAAACTCTGGCACCACAGCCAGTTTCTTAAGCCACCGACTGAGCCAGGCAGGGCCTTCTCTGCGGCTGCTCCCAGATGGTGGAAAGTCCTCCCCCGGGAGGTTAGATCAACCCCACCCTTTTATCCTCCTGCCAGCAGCTGAAAACCCACTTCTTCAGGCAGGCTTTGAACAGCTACCTTTGCATCCCCGGATATTGGGTGTTGTTGCGTTTTATGTCATTTTTCTTTGGCTTCTTTGTTTGCTTTCTAAGTTTGCTTTTAAAGTTTTAAATGTTTTCCATTCCTTAAACTTTTAATCCCGACTTGTCGCTTAATTGCTTTTTAATCTGTCGTGCATTGTGTTTTTAGTATGACTTGTTTTAACCCTGAGAACCACCGACCCCCTTGGGTCCTCTCAACAGGCAGCCCGAACAAATAAAAAATAAAATAAAAAGCTCTACCGGAAACCTCACACAACCCACTGCTCAATGCAGGAATCCACAAACGTTGCACAAACTTAATAGGCCACCACCACTGAAGTGTATTCTTCTGTCCATAATCCCCATCATTTTCCAGCTTTCTTCCATTTGTCTATGAGTGCCATTCCTATCTTCCTATCTGTTTTGTCTATCTTAAAGGCTGCTGAAAGTCCACTAATCTATCATTATAAACAGAAACTAATTTTATTTTTTAAAAATCATTAGAAAACAAAAACAAAAATTTTAGGGGCCTCCCACTTGACCACGACACTCCCCAATCAAAATCCTTAATAAGATATATTTTGAATATTATTTGTAATTCAAATTGTTTTTCCCCAGCACAAAAATCTTCCTAACATAAGACCTTGTGTCAGTTTCTTATTTTTCACCATTTTCTCTACAGTGCCTACGCTGAGCTTCAGCGTTCCACAACCAACCCTCCCTGTGAACATTCTGTAGCCTCACAAAAGCCAAGCCAAGGACAGGGAACAAAGAGGAAAAGTGGTTCAAATACAGGCAAGAGCCGATATTGACAAATGTGGGAGACATTCATCGCTTTTACACATGGAGGACAGAGAGCTGGACTGACCTGTCATCGTACGGCACAACGCCTTTCCCATCTATTTTACGTGATGGTGTGAGAGAGAGGATGTTCAGTTTTATTAGCTCGTCCATATAGTGTTTCTCTGCAGACGGGGAAGTGGGCAGGAAAAGAAGAAAAGAATGGAGAAGCATCATTAAAGTTGGGTTGTCAAAGCCAAGAGATCAAGGTCCCCCATCTCTTATCAAATGGGACCAGATGCTGCCCAACTGCACTGCTTTTAACATACCAGCGAATCCCAATGAGCTCTTAAGATTTTCCTAAGTAACTGCATGGAGAATTGCACATTTAGATAGTTCCAGCACAGTGGTCATAGCCCAGCTAGGCAAGTTTCTGCCATTTGGAGATCTTGAACGACGACTCCCAACATTTCCAGCCGACACGGCTAACTGTAAGGGACTACATGAGTACAGTGGCGGCGCTGCGGGTTAGACCGCAGAAGCCTCTGTGCTGCAAGGTCAGAAGACCAGCAATTGTAAGATCGAATCCATGCAACAGAGTGAGCTCCCATCACTTGTCCAAGCTCCTGCCAACCTAGCCGTTCGAAAGCATTTAAAAATGCGAGTAGATAAATAGGTACCACCACGATGGGAAGGTAACTGTATTCCATGTCTAGTCGCGCTGGCCACGTGACCACGAAAACTGTCTATGGACAAACGCTGGCTCTAAAGCTTGGAAACGGGGATGAGCACTGCGTCCTAGAGCCGGACAAGACTGGACTAAATGTCAAGGGGAACCTTTACCTTTATATGAGGTTAACATCAGAAACCTCTGGTATAATAATACCACCTTGCGCTTTACAGAGAGAAGGCGAATAACAGCAGTAATAAAATATAGAAATAACCAAGGTGTTTTGTCTACTCAGTTGGCTGGACAATTCAGCAAGTGGGGTTATCTGGTGGCAGAGATTGGGAGTTCTACAAATACTTACACGTTCACCAACCCTCCCTCCACCTCCCACCACCCAACCCCAAAAAGCAGTCCAGAAGACAGAATGTGACAACTTCTTAGAAAAGGTACCGTATTTTTCGCTCCATAAGACGCACCTCTCCATAAGACGCAGCAAATTTTTAGGCGAAGAAAACAGGAAAAAATAATCTGGGAATTTCGCTCCATAAGACGCATACACTTTTTCCCCAAATTTTTTTTTTGAAAAAAAGTGTGTCTTATGGTGCGAAAAATACGGTATTTGTCCCTGCTTCTTGCATAGGAAGAAATGCTTCCTCTACGATTCTCCCTATTTATCTGTCATCTAAAAAGATCATTTCCTTGGTATTGTCCACAAGTAGTCCAGATTTAGCCAATCAAAGCTGTGTGGCCACAATCTCTTTCATCTCAGTGGGAATCACCCATCTTTCTCACCTCTCACGTTGGGACATTCTTCCATTCGATGCTCAGGTACCAACACGCTCACTTCGCGATGCCCACGATCCCAAAAATATTGTACCGCTAGCGCAATCCCCCGGCAAGAGAAGAACTGCTTGAGCCCATGCCTGTAGGGAAAAGAAAGGGGCACTTAAATATTGAGATGAGCCATGCCCACTCAAGTCTAGGAACAATCACTTGCAAGGGTCGTGGGATTGAGAGCAAGGCCTCTCCCAGTGATCTTAACACCTGAGCAGGTTTGTAACGGGAGACACGGTCCTTGAGATGGCTTGGACTAAAGATGTTTAGGGCTTTATAGGTTAAAACCAGCACTTTGAATTGTGCCCGGAAATGGATCCGCAGCCGGTGGGGGTGCTATAACAGTGGCTAGACTCAATGATCCATAGGGGGTTCTTTCCAGCTCTGCAGTTCTAAAATTATTGTTACTGAGAGGAGAAAGTTGGAAGGGTAAGAATCATGTACATCAGTCTGAGTTCACTGGAAGAAAGGTGGGCTTTTTAAACATACATTGCATGCTATGGACCATACACAAAGAAGATTACTGGAAAATAGGACACACAACAGGAAGTACTTGTTATGGAGGTCAGTGCTCCCATGAGTTTGTAGGGAGCCGACAACCCCATGACCTATCATTTAGCGGAATTTCCAGATTACCCAGACTGGTCTGATATAAACAGTGTAATGTTTGGAGGTGAATTGCACCAAGTTAATAAATCACCATAAATATTATCAATTGCATACTGAGTTATATGACTCTGCATGCAACTGATAATATTTAGGGGGACTTCTTAACTTCTGGCAATTTGCTTCCATACGTTACACCATTTGTGTAGCTATGCAAGAGGATTTCAGCCATACTATGATTTACAACAGGCATGGGAAACGCACAGCCTTCCAGATGCTGCTGGTTTGCAACTCCCAGCATTTCGCCCTGTTGGCTACACTGACTAATAAGGCTCATGGGAGTTGCAGTCCAACAATATAGAGAAGGCCATACTTTGCCCACTCTTGTTAGGTTTGGAATAGATTCTCTGGCCTTTAGTGAATGGTTTGAGCTACTGGCATCCTCCAAATGACACGCACCCCAACTGTGTTCTTGGAAAGCCTGATTTGAAATTTATGTCCAGGTTTGATGTAACGTTGTCTTGGTTTCCCAATTAGAAGCTTCTTTCAAGTATGCATGTTTCATTTCCCTCCAACCTTCAAAGTAAATTGGCCATTTCTTCTCACTGACATTAATTGTGGCTTAGAATTAACTGTGCTAACCGTGGTCAGTGTTAACCACAATATCCCTTATTTAAGGTAACAATGAAGCCATCTATTAAACCAAGATTATGAAGGACAGTGGGTAATGTTAACCACAGTTAACACTATGCACCTCTAATTCTAAACT